TTTCTATAAAGTTTTGCTCCTTAAAAACTGGTATAGACCAAGGAAATCTTTAAACTGGCTACGGAGAAATAAAATGTATCCAAAGTAATTGTTTTTATGCCAAACGAGATTCAGTGAGAAAAAGAATGTGCAGTTAATGTCAATCTGTTGTCAATGTGTGAAAAAAAAACAAACACTCAAAAAATGACAATACATAATCAGTGTCCAAAAAACAAAATATGCTTGCACAATCAAGTGAGGATATCTCTCAATGTGTAAATCCATTTGAAATATTATAAGCTTTGAAAACCACTGTTCATAACATTATAAAATTATATAAACAAGAAGGGCTTAAGTCCTTACTCAGCTCCAAGGAATCTAATCAAAATAAGTGTATGATTGATTGATTATATATTGTTTAACGTCCCTCTCGAGAATTTTTCACTCATATGGCGACGCCACCACTTGGAGAGCTGCAAATTTTGTCCTTTACTCGGTACTCAGGACCATTGAGCTGGGAGGGATCTTTTTCCTGCCAGTATCTACTGCGACACGGGACCTCGGTTTATACGTTTAAACGGTCTCATCCGAAGAACTGGTCTCCACGTCCCACAGTGAGATTCGAACCCGCGACGTAAGGATTGACTCCTTACTTCGCGACTCTAGAGCAGGCGCTCTAACCACTGCGCCACGCGGGCGACAATAAGTGTGTGAGGTAGAAGAAGCGGACATTGAAAAATAATGACGTTGTCGGACGTCATGAAACTTACCGGCGACGACGCCAGAAGATCTTATAATATTTTTGTTTTTAAAATAATAATTTGTCAAATAATGAACGTATCAAGCAAACATTTTCAAAATTTCTTTTTTTTTTAGTTGTTTTATAAAACTTACAAATCTTGAAAGCACAGACTACATAGTATTAATTTTATAGCATCAGTCTACGAACTTCTTGATAACCCCTCGTAATTATCTCGATATAACTAGTCAACTATTTTTTTCATCAAAAATGAGTTTCTACGGCTTTCTTTTTTTAAGTTCTCTAGCTTTTATCAGGGGATACACATATCGCTATCACTTGCAGTAAGTTCCAGGGTTCTTTCAACATAAGCACAATGACCAATAATTTCGCAGATGTAACCTCAAAAAAAAATTGGAAAACACAGATGCGTCAATGAAATAACTGAAATATTCAATGAATAACAGGTGTTTGTAGAATATTATCAGATCTCTTTACAAAACTTTTTTCAGAGGTGTTTTTTGTAATTTTATGATTGAATACTGTGTGTTGGTAAAAATGTAACAATGCTAGACAGCACAAGTATATATCCACTGATGATATGTGTACTCTACAATATATAAAGAGAATATTCAATGTTTTGTACTTGGATATGAAATTTATTTGACGAGTGGGACGGGAATTTGAGTGCAAAGTGCTATGCCAAGGAAAAATAAAAACAAGATACTATCCTGTCTCTTAAATGAAATTGTTTCTGTATCCAACAAAAACACTGACTTTTTGTTAATGTATTTTTTAAAATAAATTTCCTTTGCGTCTGTCTTTTCGTAACATTATGAAAGATATGGAGACAAGAAACAATATTTCATGATCAAAAGTCCATAAAACAATACAAAATAGGAGCAGAGCAATTTAAATGAACCCCCAAAACATCGGAGGTCTGATCAGGTGCCATGAAGGAGTAAGAATCCCCTGGTCAACCGCTGTGTGCTCCTTGTCCTGATCGGGAAATAACGGAAAAATCTGTCGTCAATTCAGTGTATAAATAATGGATTAACAATTAGAATAATAAACTTCAGGCAGTATTTGACTCAATGATATATTGTATTTGCTGACGGGGTCCTTGTATCGACCAAAGAACTTACGAAAATTGGCTTTAAACATAACAGCTAAAATTCTTACTTTATCAACTTTTGTCAATAATTTACCTCGTTTTAGAAATTGTTCATACATAAACGTAGAGCATGCTCTTGCGTATCGAACTAACTGAGATGTATAAACTCTTTATATAGGCTGTGAGGTTGAGATGCCATAGCTGAGCAACTGTGAGATTGAAAAATACTGTTAACACGGATTTCAACAACATATATTTGAAGAAGCTGATTTTAATATTAAGTTTTCGCCATTTACCCCCTTCCTCGTTTGTCAGCATATAGAATATTTTCTATTAAAATACTGTTCGTAAAGGGAAGGAAAATCGGGAATTTTCGCTGTAATTTTGATTGTTCTCTCACAATGTGACAGAATAGCACTACGAGGTACTTTACATCCTGCCAGAGTGTCATTTTATTCAGTGAATGATTTAAACTGTTTAGATGTAATAAATAACAATTATGATAAATGTAACTCTGATCGGATTTAAGATTAAAGTCCGTGTAACGTATGGTATTGTACAATTTTCATTGTAAATGAACAGATATAATAACGGATGTTAAAGATTTTGATATAAAAGACGGTAAATTTGTTTTTATGTAAATATTGATTTGCCAAATTAAAAAAAAATAAGACATCATTAAAGTTGAAATTGCTTTCGGTTTACCAACTTAGAAGATAGTATTGACATTGGCACCTTTTAGCAGCTCGTAAAAACGTATATTAAGCTACCATGTACCAAATATAGATTCTTTTGTTTGTGTTATTTTTTTCATTAAGAAAAAAAATAGTGTTTTAATCAAAATACCTCATACTAATGGATACATTATTTTCTTATAAGTACGGATCTAGACACATTGTGAAACCCCGCCTTCCGAAGCAGGGCTTTATCATGTTTTTTTAATATGAATTTTAAAAAGTATAACACTAAGTATTTTTTTCAAATACACCAAATGTTTTTACTTTAATATTGGGATAATTAATTATTGCCCTTCCTAATCTCTCTTTTTTAAAATCTCGTCACATCATGGTCTGACATGAAAATAATTTCCAAAAAATACACCCTGCAGAATATCTGATATTATCTCATTTTATTTTCAATCTGAATTTGATTCTATTGCAGTTATTGATGAATATATTAATGTATTAATGCTGCGAAATTTATAGACGAGAGACTTTTATTCCATAATATTGCAAATATAGTTATACAGTAAAACTTAGTTACATGTATAATATAGTCTCTGGGACCTGTGCAATTACTTTGCTATATCCGTAATTTGTTACATCCGTTTTAGGAAATATAGTTAAATTTGTATAGCTAAGGATCCAAGATAACTTTGCTATATCCGTGAATTCCCTATATCCATGCTTGTACTAAACGAGTTTTGTTGTTTATAACCCCTACCCCTGTGTCTGGAACATTTTATGTTTCGGTGTTTAGTGAATTGCACCATGATTGTTTACGGAAAATAAAAAAAATTTCACAGAAGAGTAGCTAGACAATGACTAACACGTGAAGGCATGGTAAACAGAAAAAGTTATGTTACGTTTCAGTTTCAACCGCCCTTTAATATTGGTGAATATGTTCCTTAATCTCCATAGAATTCATTCAGTTGTCTATATAGTAAGTATTTTTATGAAACTATTTTTTGCGTAATGATAAATTGATACCAGTGTGACTTAAAACAAAAAAAAAAAAAAATCAGCCAAATGAATGGAATTTCATACATTATTGGTTTTTAGGAATAAATGCTGAAGGAATTTTACACAAAGAAGAGAACAAATTATCTTTTTGCAATCGGAAAACCGCAATCTGTTTGTGCATTTCATAGATAAAAAATAACGTTTATGTTCATTATCGTCTTTTATTCACATGCTCAAATTTACAAACAATTATTTAATAAACGTAGAAATTTGGATTTTTATAAAGCCATGCCGTAGGGCGATTTGCGTCTGTATTTCATTTTGTACTATCACTGAAAAAAAGAACCCAGATTGATTCCCCGACAAAAAAATGAGGCAATGGTAATCTTTCATATAACATTATGCCTTTACTGTCCATTCAAACCTTGAAATGCATAAAAGATCGATGTTCAGAGTGCTGATGTTCTTTGAAAATAAGCGTAACATGGTACAGAATCTTTGCATTATAAATATTGCATAATTTAAAACTGTAACACATTAAAAACACTATACCATATAAAGTAATAAAGTGAAAAACCACTTCTTTTCTTATTGAGATGTGACCTAGACATCTTTTTAATGCACAGGTCACATTTAAGACGATAGTCGGGTGACTAAATTTTTCTGGTCTTGTCTGCTGAAAGGACATGATCGGCCGACACGAGTATCGAGCAGTCACATTAATTCCTATGAACAATGATGACTTGGATAAGCAGCAAAGAATACTTAAGATGTCTTTTTATCTTACAGGTTAATTATTTATGTTATTTCTGTTAAAAATATATACACGTGTATCAATCCATAACACAAAATGCATCGAAATTTTGTTTGTGTTCTGAATCTTTAGTAGGTTAAATTTTCACAAATCGGCCAATCGTCACCCGATCATCGAGCTCTGAGCTAAGGTTTGATTTTTTAATAATATTAATGAATGCGCTATGCGCAATTGTAACAATAGCGATATAAAGTAAACAAATGTCTACCTTTTTATTGCAGTAGAAATTACAATTTTTGAAAACAACCAAAATTAGTTACTTGTAAAATTAGTTACCACTGAGGCCCAATCTTTGTCGTAAATTAGCCCGAAAGCGAAGATATTACGTAGCATCTCATTTTTCACCCCAACCCCTTTCCGTTAGGTCTGTAAAACACATTTCTCTTATGGTATTCGAAAGTAACAATAGTAATTACCTATTTACGGAATTTTTATCTTTAAAAAAATATTCTACACTATAAATTTTGAATTGGTCAACCAAGAAAACGTGTATGGAATTTAAATCTCAATAAAATTACTTGGGGTATGTGTATATGGTACTCGTTTGGAACATGATACATGCGCTTGAGCAGATTTCTATCTAATGTAGGTTTAAATGACAGGAAAGCTATTTTCAAAAAGAAAGTAGATGTTTGCGGGATTTTCCTGTATTACGTAAAGAACCGGATATATTTCAGATTGAACCCTTAACATGGATACCATTAAAACTATCCAAACGTAAGTTCCTTAGAGAAATATTAATTTAGAATACATGTGGTAGTAAATATATATAATTTTTTCAAGTTGAATTGAGAACAAATGAAAATTGAAATAAAAAGGGAAAACATTCTTTAGAAGAGTTAATTTACATAAAGAATAATGTAATCCTTTATGTCCCTTGGCTATGTAATGATAAATGTTGTTAAACTTTATCAAATATTATCAAATGAATATTGAATAATGTATGAAATATATACATGAAATATATTCACCAGTCGCAATATCATTTTTAGAAGGACATCCATGAAACGTATATCAGAGTCAGTGTTCATGAGACTTTGTCGTAAACTCGGTACCTCACAGCAGGTGGCCATGAGGAGAGATGTGGTGGACATCAGTGAGATGATACAGGTTCAAAAGACCGCAATAAGTGGTTCAGCGAGTATGCTGTTGAGTGGGAGTCACAGAGAAGGATTCAGACTGGAGGGATCAGATATTGACTATATGTTCTGGCCAAATGATCACCGTGTGATCTGGGACTTATCTCAGTCTCGGTATTACAACTCACACCGACAAACACTGATCCTCTGTGACTGTTCTGATAGTCCACCAGGATTTACTTTATTATATTTACTCTCACTAAGCGTGCTAAAAAAAGTTCAATATGCTTGTGTTCGAATGAATAATAGACATTATATTTCTAGTTCTAAATACAGAGAGATCTCGTGTGCCTTACCCTCGTCAGTTACTACGTCTCTTCACGGACCATGTGCCCGCGGATTTATTGGACCAAATGAATTTGATAATGCCCACTGTTTTGTTAGTGACTTTTGGCCTCCATCTGCCTCTTCATGGATAGCCAGATGTCACTCATGGCCCCAACCTCATGTCGTTGATGATATAGTAGAAAATGGGTGTCATTTTGTAGCTATAGGACATAAACTAGGAAGAAATGAAGTCAATGAATGGAGAATTTCTTTCTCACGGGCGGAATGTAAACTTGTATATGTCATGAACCATTGCCAGTTCTTAACCTATGGTTTGCTCAAATTGTTTTTAAAGGAAATAATTAACAGTGAATTAAATGATAGAGGGAAATTGCTGTGTTCCTATCACATGAAAACAGCAGTTTTCTGGGTTATTCAACAGAATATCATGCTTCACTGGTGTCCACAAAATCTCCTGGAGTGTTTCTGGGTCTGTTTTAAACTCATCCTCAAATGGGTGTTTGATGGAGTCTGTCCAAACTTCTTTATTCCAGCTAATAACATGTTTCTGGGTAAAATTCATGGTGCAGCACAAAATTATTTATTTATTAAAATGTATGGATTGTATAAGAATGGGATTGGATTCCTGCTACACAGTCCATCTATTAGATCTTCCATTATGACTGCCCTTTATAACCCTAGAAACCCTATCCAGAAACTCTGTACAGACGAGCACACTCTGATTTCTGAAAATGAATTTGATATAGAATTGTTTCGAGAAATACTAAGAAATGCTTCAATATGTATATACAAAGCACCTCTACAGAGCTGTATAATGTACCTACAGGCAATAGAACACTTGATCAGTGAGCATTCCATGACACAGTATCAAATCATCAGGTTGCAGAAATTTACAGCCTCTATCTTTCAGAATCTTCCCTTTACACTATCACTACACACGATGACTTGCGCAACTGAAAACAAACTGAGGTATAGAGCTGATAAGATCTCCTGTCACATGCTGAAATTATCAGCCAAGTTTGGTTGTATCTCTGACTTGCTGTACATAGCTATGTATTATTACAAGACACTTAGATATAAGAAAGCTTTACCTATTATAGACATGGTAAAGGTCAGGTTAACACAGCCATATGTGATATATAACCCTTATGTAGATGCGGAGACGTATATACAGGCTGTAGGGGGACAGTCTTGGTCTACAAAAATGAGACAGGCTTTATCATATGACATCGACCTTGTAAACTTAATTCATTATATTTGTGAATTAATACCAGAACAGCAGTCTGGTCTTAAGTATGTTACATTTTCCTCATGTATCCCACTCTTTGTGCTGTTACACATGTTAGAGATTCTTTGTTGCAGACATTTAGATACAAGAAGAGCACACACAGCTCTTGATGATCTACGAACCTTAGTTCAGTTTGATCAGGGACAGTTTATATCTTCAGATCTCAGAGACATATCGTGACAGATTCTGGGGATCTGTCAACAGGTGACAGGGAACCTCCAGGCTGCTCTATACTCATACAGACAATCTCTCAGACAAGAACAATACAACAACATACAAGCAGCTACAGTAATGAGAATTCAGGAAACTTCCAGGATGCTTGGTACTCATATCAACGATCTTTCAGACAATGTCATATTTTAAACAGTATACTAAGAACTACAAAAATGCAAAAACAAGATATTTGTCAATAAAAATCATTGAATGTTTTTTTTGGGGGAAATCTCAAACATTTATATATTCTATATGATACACAATTTTAATTTCTTTTCATTCTGATGTCCTGTTTTAAACTGCGTGTGACTAAACAAAGGAACGTGTTGCCTGTAGAAATCTAAGGAAATGAAGAAATCTTTAGCTTAGCACCCAGTTGACTTTAATTTCAGATAGAATGAGATGTTAATTATGCTGTTTTGCTTAATGTTGGATGTTGTGTGTACTTGTATTGCTACTGAATTATGAAGTGTACGCATATAGAGTTATACGTTTAGCGAAATTAGCTTAATAAAATGATTGTTTAAGTTAAATCATCCAAGAAAGCTATGTGATTTAACGATTCAGGATGAAATGATAGAGTAATTAAAGAATTTCATATAATGTGAATATCTTGGATTTTAATACAAGGATCATAATAGCACCACTTGTCATTATTACACAGCTATCAAGGTAACTAAAAATGAAGAGGCCATTGGTTGAATACCTGGAAAATAAAAATATTACAAGGTTTATGTTGTTCACAATTCAACCATACTTCCTTACATCCACACATAAAGACTGACAAATACACAACTAAAGAGACATATGCCAAGGTCATTCTAGAATCTGGCTCAAGTCAAATTAAACTAGTGCTTATTGTAACGGGGACCGTTACAGATGTTCCCCAAACGCTCCCCAACACCCTTTTGGTGCCATATTCCCTGTAAGCTTCATTAAATAAGACAAACTCTATGCATTTGAAACTTTAAAACTTTTACCCAAAAGTGTACAAAGTTCATTCAAATTTGAGCATTGCACGCGTGCGCACGTGAATGCATGTGCGTAATAACCATATCTTCTCTACACAATATTAAAGTATTTAATCCAAAAGTATTAAAAAAATAGGCTCATTCAAGTGTATTTTTAATTTTACTCATTTCACTTGCACGCACGTGCATACATGAGCATGGTGACCATACCTTCTTGTAGAAGTCCATTATATCTATCTATGTTCTAAATCCCACCCCGTTTGGTTGAAAACCAAGAGTTATAGCTGTTGAAAGTTTCAGCCAAAATCAGATTGCAGCGCACGTGCATGCACGTGCATGCATGTGCATAGTGACCATACCTTCTTGTAGAAGTCCATTATATCTATCTGTGTTCCAAATCCCATCCTGTTTGGTTGAAAACCAAGGGAGTTATAGCTATTTAAAGTTTCAGCCAATCAGATTGCAGCGCACGTGCATACACGTGTTTCCATGATAATTGCTATATATCATGTTGTAGGATATCCTATTGCATGGCTATATTCAAAATTTCAAAAGATTTCGTCAGAAAACAAGAGAGATATTGAGACTTTAGTTTTAGCCAATCAGAGCGAAGCGCACGTGCATGCACGTGAGATCTTGCTATTTTGACCATGTCATATTATACCCGCACTTTCTAAAGAAAGTTCGGGTATATTATTGTTACTCATGTCCGTCCGTCCGTCCGTCTGTCACACTTTTCTTCCCTGAACTCCTCCTACATTTTACACAGTAGCTTAATCATCTTTTGGGAGATGGTTTGTGGGGTCATGTAGATGTGCAGTAAGGTTTTGGAATTTCGATTTTGCCCCGGGGGGTCAAATGGGGGTCGAAAAATGACGTTTTTTGTCCAAAAAGCCCCGTCTTCCCTGAACTCCTTCTACATTTTACTCAGTAGCTTAACCAGCTTTTGGGAGATGGTTGGTGGGGTCATGTAGATGTGCAGTAAGCTTTCGGAATTTTGATTTTGCCCCAGGGGGTCAAATGGGGGTCGAAAAATGACGTTTTTTAAGCAAAAAGCTCCGTCTTCCCTGAACTCCTCTTACATTTTACTCAGTAGCCTAACCAGCTTTTGGGAGATGGTTGGTGGGGTCATGTAGATGTGCAGTAAGGTTTTGGAATTTCGATTTTGCCCCAGGGGGTCAAATGGGGGTCGAAAAATGACGTTTTTTGTCCAAAAAGCCCCGTCTTCCCTGAACTCCTTCTACATTTTACTCAGTAGACTAACCAGCTTTTGGGAGATGGTTGGTGGGGTCATGTAGATGTGCAGTAAGCTTACGGAATTTTGATTTTGCCCCAGGGGGTCAAATGGGGGTCGAAAAATGACGTTTTTTAAGCAAAAAGCTCCGTCTTCCCTGAACTCCTCTTACATTTTACTCAGTAGCCTAATCATCTTTTGGGAGATGGTTGGTGGGGTCATGTAGATGTGCAGTAAGGTTTTGGAATTTCGATTTTGCCCCGGGGGGTCAAATGGGGGTCGAAAAATGACGTTTTTTGTCCAAAAAGCCCCGTCTTCCCTGAACTCCTTCTACATTTTACTCAGTAGCCTAACCAGCTTTTGGGAGATGGTTGGTGGGGTCATGTAGATGTGCAGTAAGCTTTCGGAATCTTGATTTTGCCCCAGGGGGTCAAATGGGGGTCGAAAAATGACGTTTTTTAAGCAAAAAGCTCCGTCTTCCCTGAACTCCTCTTACATTTTACTCAGTAGCCTAATCATCTTTCGGGAGATGGTTGGTGGGGTCATGTAGATGTGCAGTAAGGTTTTGGAATTTCGATTTTGCCCCGGGGGGTCAAATGGGGGTCGAAAAATGACGTTTTTTGTCCAAAAAGCCCCGTCTTCCCTGAACTCCTTCTACATTTTACTCAGTAGCCTAACCAGCTTTTGGGAGATGGTTGGTGGGGTCATGTAGATGTGCAGTAAGGTTTTGGAATTTTGATTTTGCCCTGGGGGATCAAATGGGGGTCGAAAAATGACGTTTTTTATGCAAAAAGCCCAGTCTTCCCTGAACTCCTCTTACATTTTATTCAGCAGCCTAATCATCTTTCGGGAGATGGTTGGTGGGGTCATGTAGATGTGCAGTAAGGTTTTGGAATTTTGATTTTGCCCCGGGGGATCAAATGGGGGTCGAAAAAATGACGTTTTTTATGCAAAAATCTCCATCTTCCCTGAACTCCTCTTACATTTTATTCAGCAGCCTAATCATCTTTTGGGAGATGGTTGGTGGGGTCATGCAGATGTGCAGTTAGGTTTCGGAATTTTGATTTTGCCCCGGGGGGTCAAATAAGGGTAGAAATATGATGTTTTTTATGGAAAAAGCCCCATCTTCCCTGAACTCCTCTTACATTTTATTCAGCATCCTAATCATCTTTGGGAGATGGTTGGTTGGGTCATGTAGATGTGCAGTTAGGTTTCGGAATTTTTATTTTGCCCGGGGGGTCAAATGAGGGTTGAAAAATGACGTTTTTTTTATGGAAAAAGCCCAGTCTTCCCTAAACTCCTTTATTGTTTTAAACAGTGGTCTTATCATTTTTTGGGAGAGTTCACTCTTTTGAAATTTTGTTAAAACATCAAGGTCAAGGGGTAAAAAATCATAGCATGTTGGGAGCCTCTTGTTATGGGTAATGTTCACTTGAAATGTGAAAGTCAAATCTCTTCTCAATGAAAAGGAAATACAACATTAATGAAAACTAAGTTAAACTTCAAGGTCAAGGTCACAGAGTCAAAAAGTCATGATACATTTTGGAAGGTCTTATCACAGGTAAAATGAATGCCCTTTCATTTATCTTTCAAAATGATCAATTCAAAGCAATTAATTTTTTTAAGGAAATTAGGTCAAACTTCAAGATCATGGGTAATGAAAATCATAGTGTATGTAGAATGGTATTGTCCCATTTAATACTAATACACATGTTTAATATAAAAGTCCTATCTCTTCTCATTCAAAATATTCGACCATGATGACCAAGGTTAAATTTATTGTGACAGATGGGCAGATTGACAAGCAAATGAGATTTAATGTACCCTACCTTTAGCAAAAATGGGGACAATAAATGTCTTTGCTGTTCTTGAGAAGAAGATTTATGTTGGAACAAGATGTGTTTGTGAAACACTACGTGCCCGGCGGCAACGAAGTTAAAAAAATCTTCTTTTAGCATATTGATCACAGTCAAGGTCACAAGGTCATTGACAATGGTGTCATTCGAAAGAACTTAATCAGTGGAGTATGAGTACTAAATATGAAGTCCCTATCTCCTATGGTTCAAAAGTTGTGGCAAAAAGTGTAAAAAGCTATTTTTAGCATATAGGTCACAGTCAAGGTCACAAGATCATTGACCTTGCCGTCGTTTGAAAGTACTTTATCGGTGGAGTATGCATACCAAATATGAAGTCCCTATCTCCTATGGTTCAAAAGTTATGGCAAAAAGTGTAAAAAGCTATTTTTAGCATATAGGTCACAGTCAAGGTCACAAGATCATTGACCTTGATGTCATTTGAAAGGACTCTATTAGTGGAGTATGCATACCAAATATGAAGTCCCTATCTCCTATGGTTCAAAAGTTATGACAAACAGTGGAAAAAGATATTTTTAGCATATAAGTCTTAGTCAAGGTCACAAGGTCATTGACCTTGAAGTCATTTGAAAGGACTTTATTAGTGGAGTATGCTTACCAAATATGAAGTCTCTATCCCTTATTGTTCAAAAGTTATGGCCAAGGTTAAAGTTGACAAACAGACAAACAGATAAACCGACAAACAGACAAACAGACAGGACAAAAACAATATACGCCCGGGATCTATCGATCCGGGCGCTTAAAAAGTACCCTGCATATTTAAATGTAAATTGGTTGAAATTAGCCCAGTGGTTCTTAAGAAGTTAATGTGAAAAGTTTGCAGATAAACAGATGGACAACAGAAATCAGTACATTTCAGAAAACAGTATGCTTATAAATAGTTAATCA